GTGGGTGAGCCTGCTGAGAAATCGCGTGGGGATCCATCCCTGTGGCCCTCGCTCTGCAAACACTCAGCCTCAGGCCAGACCCATCCGGCTGCATTCCGTGAATGGACATAGGACACAGGTCACACAGCAAGGCACTCCTCTGCCTCCTTCCCTGATGGTCGCCCTGGGAAACCTAAGCCCGGGTCACCACCATAAGGCGGGGCTACCCCAGACACCCCCCTAGCTCCCCTACTCCGACCTTCCCCCCCAGCAGTGGGAGGCCTTCTCATCTGCCCTTCCTACTTTCCATCAGTAGTTCTTGTTTTAATTTTTATTTTTTTTAAGATTTTATTTATTTGACAGAGAGAGAGCGAAAGAGGGGACACAAGCAGGGGGAGTGGGAGAGGGAGAAGCGGGCTTCCCACTGAGCAGGGAGCCCCATGTGGAACTCGATCCCAGGACCCCGAGATGGTGACCTGAGCCAAAGGCGGACTCTTAATGGCTGAGCCCGTCAGGCGCCCCTCATCAGCCCTTCTTATTTCTATTACTTCTGTGGTCAACCTTGACTGTTCCCAGCCACGTGCGGGGGCGGGAGAGGGAGGAGACAAGCTGAGGCTTATTCCTCTCTACTCTGCAGAGGTAGGGTCCCCCCCCCCCCCCGCCAGGGCGCCCCGCCCCGCCCCGCGGGAATCAGAGCGGGGCAGTTGATCTGTATCTCCGGCTCCAGCCATGGGCCTTGTATGCAGTAGGGGCTCCCTGCAAGTTTCACTGAGAAAAGGGGCTGTTTGGGCTTGAAGGAAAGAACTCTTACTTGGATTTGAAACCCAGAAAGGAATCTGGTGATACCTGAGTAACTTAGGCACCTTGGGTTAGCGTGAGGGTTTCTGGTAATTCACATCGCCTGGTGTGTGACGTTCGCAGTGGGCACGTTTGGGGCAAAGTGCTGAAGAAGACACACATCCTAGACAGGTCACAGGTAATCAAGACTCAGAGCTCATCCGAGGATAAAGATTCAGGGCGCCCGGGTGGCTCAGTGGGTTAAGCGTCGTGATCCCAGGTCCTCTGATGGAGCCCCGCATCGCATCAGGCTCCTTGCTCAGTGGGGACCTGCTTCTCTTCTTCTCCCTCGCTCCCTCCCCGTGTCCTTGCTCGCTCTCTCTCTCTTTCTCCCAAAAAAACAAATAAAGTCTTTAAAAAAAATACTAAAGATGTCCTATGATTTTATGTACCTCTCAGCAAAAATACCACCGATGGAGGTGTTAGAATGTGGCATACGTTGGTGAAATAGTTATTCATCTTGTCTTGACGTGGGCTATCGTGTTGGAGAGACCAGATTTATATGCATGAAATTAATTTTAAAACCAAAACAGTCCACTAAACTATGAACTCCATGGTTTGGCACAGGAGACAGAGGGCATTGGGACCCAGAAAGGAGAATGGCAGTTGGTGCTAAGGGAGATGGGGGAGGTTTGGAAAGAAGATGATGTCATCTGAGCCCTGGAATGGGGAAGCTTGGGACGTGGAGTCATGGGGAAAACTCTGAGGTCCAGCATGGAGAGGGGAAAAGGGTGGGGTGGGCACAGCAGGAGCAGAGGGCACGGAGGGGACGGGCGTCCAGCAGGCATGGAACTCTCCACACACGATGGCATCTCACGCCCGTCATGGCCCCAGGAGTGAAGCAGGTCTCCCAGCGGCTGAGCTAATGACAAGGACACAAGCCTGAGTGGTGGACTCGGGAAGAGCCTCCAGGGGAAACAAGTCCAGAGCGGGGTGGGCAGACCAGGGAACCGGTAGAAGGTAAACAAGGTGTGACTTTAGGTCAAGCCCAGCCTAATCCCATGAGGAGCACTGGAGTGTCCCCCACACAGTAAGGAAACTTGGCTGGGGGACCGTGGGAGGCCGTAGATACCCAGGCACAGAGGACCCACTCAGCTGTGCGGTGACAGCAGTCCTCCCAGGAGAGCCGGGGGTAGAAGCAGACCCTCACGGAGGTCAGGGAGGCACGCAGGTGCGGTGGGCGACAGGGTCAGAGAGCATCCGGGAGCGGCACAAGTGACACTGACCGCAACGGCAAGCTTGTATACAGTAGGAGTTCAATGGTTGCGCGGATGGAGTATCAGAAACACGTGAAAAACGATTCTGGTCCCTGCAGAGGACACTGTGAAGAATGAGAAACAGGGTCCCTGACTCTGAATGAGCACTTCTGCATTTTCCATTCAGTGAACAATTACTTACTTTTTTTTTCACTTGTTAACTTTAAAAAATAAAACTGCTAGTTATTTTGCCAGCCAAAGATGGGTGTATTTGGGACTAACAGAGAATTGCTATGTGGGATAAGCTACAAGAGAAGAGAGGAGGCTGTTTTACAGAGGAGTGGGGAGGGGGTGGAGTTTGGGACGGACAGAGAAACAGAAGGTCCATTGCGGTAAACTGGGAGCTGGAAATGTAGAGGCTTTTCTCATTGGCTGGGCTGTTGCCTGGGAGGAAAAAACTTCCTCCTGCTGGGGTAGTAAAGTAGTAGCTTCTCTTCCTGCTGGCTTTGCAACTGGAGATGAGTGGTAAGGCTATCAGCCCCCATCTGCCCAGCCTCCCGCCCAATACGTTTTAGTGATGTTTCTTTTTATTGATTTTCACACATGGCTTTCACTACACCCAACTACTGGGTAAAAGGTTTGGTTGTACAGTAAAGAGACCAGAATTAAAACAGGAAATGCAGAACCTCAGTGAACTGTAGAATTTTTCAATTATCTTGTGTTCCCTTTGTTCTACATTAAGACGGATAGATAATAGGTAGAGAGGCAGATGAATGGGTAGATAGAGATGGTATGATAATGTCATAAGGAAGAATAAGGCAAAAAACAAATTAGGAAGAAATAATATTCACAACTGGTACCACAGAAAATATACCATATCCCTAATACTTAAGAGCTGCCCAAAATCAGAGAAGAGACAGATCAACAGTTGAACCCTACCTCACGCCATATACAAAAATCAACTCAAAGTGGATCAAAGACCTAAACATAGGAGAGAAAGCTATAATACTCTAGAAAGAAAACATAGGGTTAAGTCTGCATGACCTTACATTTGGCAACAGTTTCTCAGATATGACACCAGAAGCACAGGCAACAAAAAAAACCACATGAATCAGAGTTCACAAAATTTAAAAGCTTTATGTATCAAAGGATGCTATCAAGAGAAAAAGACAAGACAGACTACAGAATGGAGAAGATATTTGCAAATCATAACTCTGATAGGGGTCTAGTGTCCAGAATGCATAACTCCTGTAACTCAACAACAAAAGGACAAACAACCTCATTAAAAATGGTTTAAACATTTGGATAGACATTTCTCCAGAAGGAGAAACACAGATGGCCAAAAATACTTGAAAGGAAGCCCAAAATCCACTGGGCATCAGGCAAAACCAAAACCAAATAAGATGCCACTTCACACCCAGTAGGGTGGCCACAATTTAACAAAGAAGAAGAAGAAAGAGAAGAAAAAGAGAGCAGAAGCAGTGCCGGGGAGCATGTGGAGAAACGAGAGCTTCGTACCTTGCTGCTGGAAATGTAAAATGTTTTGGGAAACTTGTAAAAAATTCAAACAGAAACTTGACAAAAATGTCAATAGCAGCATGATTCCAAAGAGCCAAAATGTGGAAACGACCAAAATGTCCACTGACTGAGGAACGGAGAAATAAAATGTGGTGAACCCATTTGCTGGAATATTACTGAGCCAGGAACAGGAGTGAAGCACGGGCACGCACTACAACACGGACAAGCCTGGAAAACATCACGCTCAGCGACTGGAGTCAGACATAAGAGGCCAGGAATTGTGTGATTCCTTACACGTGAAAGGTGTGGAATAGGCAAGTCCACAGGGACAGAAAGCAGATTAGTGACTGACGGGGACTGCAGAGGGACTCCTTCATAGTTCAGGATTTCCTTCTGGAGGGATGAGAAGGCTCTGGATCTAGCTGGTGATCACGGTTGCACAACATTGTGGCTTTGCTAGACGTCACTGACTTGTATGCTTTAAAATGGATGGAATTATACATTTTATATGTTATGGGCTCAATCCATAAAAATCATGCCTGCTGGGGATTTCCAGGAGTGAGGCCCCCATACTCAGCAGCACTGGAAACTATTAACGGTAAATTTTAGTTGATCTTACAGGTAGGACATTTATGTTTTAATTTGACGAACTTCATTAATGAGTTCAGGTAGTTTTCCATTTTGTTTGTGATTCTTTTGTAGCCTCTCCTGCCTTGGTTGTAAGGACTTTAAAATTTCATATTCACCTTTCCTCCATCACGCATCCTGCCCATATTTTCTGGCCATTCAATCACTTCAATATATGTGCCAAGGAGATTCCCTTTGGGCTTTGATGGAAATGACACCAATGATGGTAGTTCGGGGACAAGGGGAGGGTTCTAAAGCCCTGAGTTTCCAGCCCTCGACTGTCTCAGGTCCCCAGTGCACACACATTGCATGTGTTCTCTCGTCAAGTTTTCCTATTTTGTGCATGTCTTACCCTCTCAACGGCCCTTGTAGACACTTGACAGCTGGGCGTGCAATGGCCCTGAGAGTCTTCCCCGAGTGTTCACACATTGATGGGGCTGGTCTGCGGGATCCCGATCTCACACCAAGCCCTGCAGGAATGTGACCTTAGAAACCATGGCCGTCCTTCAGCAAAACCTGCCTCCAATATTCTCCACAAGTTTTCTGGAGATCAACAAAGAACAGACAGGAAAACAGAGTCCTACAACATCCTCACCATTTAATGAGTAAAAACTAATTGTGGAAAATAAACCAGCACTAACGAGGTCTTCCCTGTTACCAGCTCTCAGACCAACAAGGAAGGAAGGCGTGGTGAGCCGATGGCTGGGACAACACACACACACACACACACACACACACGCTGGAGGGTATAAAAGCCGACAGACAAACCAGCACCTTACACACTCACACTCACACACACTCACACTCACACTCTCAGCCTCCTCCAGCCCCACCGCCCCCACCATGGCCGCGTCCACCCTGTCCATCTGCTCCAGCGACCGGAGCTACGGCAGCCGCGTCTGCCTGCCCGGCTCCTGTGACTCCTGCCCCGACTCCTGGCAGGTGGACGACTGCCCAGAGAGCTGCTGCGAGCCCCCCTGCTGTGCCCCCACCTGCTGTGCCCCCACCTGCTGTGTCCCCACCTGCTGTGTCCCTACCTGCTGTGCCCCCACCTGCTGTGCCCCCTCCTGCCTGACCCTCATCTGCACCCCTGCGAGCTGCGGGTCCAGCCCCTGCCAGTCAGCCTGTACCAGCTCCTGCCAGCCCTCCTGCTGCAGCTCCTCCCCCTGCCAGGAAGACTGCGGTGTATCTGTCTGCTGCAAGCCCATCTGCTGCACCCCTGTCTGCTGCAAGCCCGTCTGCTGCACCCCTGTCTGCTGCCAAGCCTCCCCCTGCTCAGCCTCCTCATGCTGCCAGCAGTCTAGCTGCCAGCCCTCCTGCTGCAGCTCCTCCCCCTGCCAGGAAGACTGCTGCCAGCCTGTCTGCTACACCCCTGTCTGCTGCAAGCCCGTCTGCTGCACCCCTGTCTGCTCCGGGCCCTCCTCCTGCTGCCAGCCCAGCCCCTGCTCCTCGTCCTGCTGCAGACCGTCCTCCTGCGTGTCCCTGCTCTGCCGCCCCGTGTGCAGGCCTGCCTGCTGCGTGCCCGCCTCCTCCTGCTGTGCCCCCACCTCCTCCTGCCAGCCCAGCTGCTGCCGCCGAGCCTCCTGCGTGTCCCTGCTCTGCCGCCCTGTGGGCTCCCGCCAGGCCTGCTGCGTGCCTGCCTCGGCCCAGAAGACCTGCTGCTGACCAGCTTGAACTTCTGCCTCCGGCGCTGCTGTCTTTGCTCCTGGGCACAAATGTCCTCTCTCAGGAGCTCTGACGTCCAAGACCATCCTCTGCCCGTTGGTGGACACGCAGCTGCTGCCTACTGGGGACTTGAACATGCCACCCATCCTTTCCTGAGAAGAGATGCCCACCAGTCCCTCAGTGGAGGGGGACTGCGGCTCCCCAGGAACCCTCTTCTGTAGGGTCGGTGGCTCGTATTCCACGTGACAAAGGCCAATCGCTATAATCAATAAAATGTTTGTGTCATGACCTAGAGACCAGTGTTTGTTTTCTCCTCCTCCTCGGAGCCCAGAGACCACTCCAGACTGGAGCTCTTTCTGGTGGAAGCCAACAATAAAGACATATTCTCAAACTCCAAGTTCAAAGTCCCTGAGAGATGATGAGGTCTGAATGTGGCTCTGCACACTCCATGTCCCTTCCCCACCCTGTGGCCTTCCCCACAGTGACGAGCCCTCCCTGGGCCAGGGGAAGGGGTGGGCGTGGTTGCACAAGGCTTAGACCCTGAGGGGACTTTGGGGTCTAGCCCATGCCTGGCCCCCTACCCATGCAGGTTAAAGGTGAGCTGAGGAGCAGCACGACCTAACTGGTGGGAACTTGAGGGTCCAGTACCTGGCACCACGCCGACTCCCTCGGAGAGAGGTGCCGCCCAGAGGAATGCCTGCATGCTGGTCTGGGCACAAGGGCTGATGCCCTGAAGCACAAGCAAATCCCTGTAGGCCCCCAGAGGGGTGCAAGGGTCAGTTTAGACATCATTCATTCTACTCAAGACTTCAAGGTCTGACTGGGGAGACAGGGAGAAAAAGATGCCTTGTTGACAAATCCTCAGAACAGTGGAAGATGATGAGCCTGCAGTCTCAGTGGACCACAAGTGCTAGAGAGTCAAGCGGGCACCAGTCAGACCAGCCAGGTCAGCATCAGGCTCCCTACTGACCCCTTGTGCCAGGAACAGACGGAAGAGGCCCCCAGGAGCAGAGCAGCAGAGGCCCGGCAGGCGGGAGGAGGAGCAGAAGGTATCTACCTCTCCACAGCGGCAGGCTCCGTCCCCTGCCCCAAGTTAGCTCTACCCCAGGGAGGTGGAGACGGAGCAAAAACCTCAGGGGGCCTTTAAAAAGAAAGGGGCTGGGTTGCAAACCCACCTTGACTCTTAAATCCCTCAGTCTGCCTGAATTTACTGAAAACCTGTACCCATGGCTTGCTCGTTTGAAGAGAAATGTGACCACCTGCACAGGTAAATGAACAGGGACCTCGATGGATTCTTCACGGCACAGAGTTAAAGACGTGGAGGAAGCTTCCACCGCATCCGTAACCAAAGACTGAAGGGCAGGGATGTAGACTCCCGTGGACACCAGCAAAGCACAGTGTAGCCAAAATAGCGTGTGGGAGGGATGGGCGGGGGGCCTGCAGGACGCTCCCTGGCTCTCGCCCAGTGGCTCCAGAACATCTAGGACCTTCTGACGGCTCCTGCAGGAAAGTCGGTCACAGCTGGAAAAGGCATGGCCGGCCACCGGTGGCCAGGCTGCTCCTGGCCAGGGCGTCTACGTGGTCGGCTGAACTGCTCACAGATGGGGCGTCTACACAGCCAGCTGGACTGCTTACAGATGGGGTGTCTACAGTCATCAGACTGCTCATAGACAGTGCCTAGTCGATCAGCTGGACTGCTCACAGATGGGGCGTCTACCCATTCAGCCAGACTACTCATGGAAGGGATGTCTACACTGTCAGTCTGATTGATCACAGGTGGGGCATCTACATGGTCAGCCAGACAGCTCATGGAAGGGGTGTCTACACAGTCAGTCTGATTGATCACAGGTGGGGAATCTACATGGTCAGCCAGACCACTCACAGAAGGGGTGTCTACACAGTCAGTCTGACTGATCGGAGATGGGACAGCTACGTGGTCAGCCAGGCTGCTCACAGATAGGGAGTCTACACGGTTAGCCGGCCACCAATGCCCAACGGTGGAGGGAGTGGTGGAGTTGGAGGTGACAGGAGTCTTTACCTTGGGAGGCTTCTTTAACACGTGTACACAGGCGGGGACAATGCTAGATGCTCTGAGACCCTCCAGATCTCGGGGAGCCCTTCTGTGGGCAGCTCCCAGGCCCCGGATACCTCCATAACCATCATGTCTCAGACCGGGATGGTCACTGCCCTCAAAAGCATCACTGAGGACCCAGGGCAGGCCTCCCCCGCTGTCTGATGGATGGTGCCATGGCTGCTGGTGTGCCTGGAGGGAGGGTGTCTGCAAGGTGAGGGCATGACACGCAGGGGCTGGACACCCATGACGGTGAGACAGGTGGCCGGCATGGGGTCTACATGGACCAAGGATGAGGCAGAGCTGTGCACAGTAGGTGCTCTGAGAGTCCCTCTGAATTTCCCATCACGTATCCCGTGACCTCACGATAGTGGACATTTCCAGATCTGTGGATCCGTGATCCCGTCGCAGGAAGGACCCCCCTACCCGGCAGTGCTCCTCTTAGACTATTTCTTGGTTCTCAAATAGCTCCCCACTGGCACCCTGGTGTGCCCCGGCTCCCTTGAGCTGATGATTGTGCACGCTCTGGGCATCTCCCACCTCCCGCCCAGGGCGGCCCCAGCATCCTTGCTCTTCGGTGGCCCTGGGTCACACCATAGGGGCTAAGCCCACGCTGTCAGGGGCAGGTTCTGGGCCAGGTGCCCCGACCCGGAACAGTGCAGGCTCCGCGCATGGGCACACAGGAGGGCAGCCACCCAAGGCTCTGCCACGGAGAGGCTCTGTCTGTGTCGTGGCCCCCAAGACAGACTGCACACACGCTGGGTCCTCCCAGAACACCTGCACGACCGGTTCCCTGTCCCTCCCAGCCACTAGCAGTGCCACCTGCTCTGTGGGCATCTACAAGGCCAGCAGAACTGCTCACAGGCAGGGAGTCTACACCATCAGCGGGCTACCATTGCCCATGGAGAGAAGGAGTTGGAGGTGACGGGGCTCCAAGCCCGCAGCCCAGTGTCCCTCTTCCCACGGCCTCCTCTTCCGTGGCAGCCCTTCCTCTCCCTTCTCCCACGTCCCTGGGATGACGTGAGCCCCCAAACCAATCCAGGACGGCTCCCGGGGCAAGACCCTCAGTTCACTCTACCTGGGGAACTGCTGTGCCTACAGGGCTGTGTTTACCGGTTCTGGGGATGAGGGTGTGGACATCTCCGGGAGCCACGGAAGTCACCCACAAAGCCCTGTCCCCCCGAATGGGAGAAGGAAGAGCCCTAACTCGTCTGTAGGGAGTACACTTTCATTTTGAGCTGGGTTGGCTCCGCATATTGGTTGCTGAGCAGGGGACCTTTTTACCTAAAAAGGGTCAAACCCCAAAGTTAGGGATTCACCCTCAGTACCCCCAGCAGAGTAAGAAATAACCTCGCTGGTTCAAGGGACCAAAGGGGACCAAAGGAAGCCCAGGGCCCAGAGGCCCTGAGCTAGGAGCTCCCACTCACCCAAGAGGCCACCCCTGAGTGGCCGGTCCCCCAGGGTACAGACACCTGGTAACCTGTGGCCTGTCCGCAGAGGGAGCGTTTCTGAATTTTGGGAGCCATGCCCGGAGGAAGCAGTTCAGGGACAGGCATAAAGGAGAGACGGTGCACACACTCGGTGGGTTTCAGATTACTCTGGAATTTATTAGACTTTTGTGCAGGGCTGCAGAGCTGGGCACTCCACACCAGCCAGAGACACTGGGGGCGACTCTCCACCTGGGTACAGGGGATCAAGTGACTTTGCTGTAAGATGGTCTAGTCGGGTCCGGAAGGTCTGAAGTGGGTGATGTCTGGGCTGCCTGGTAGGAGTTGGGAGAACAGCTACTTCTGACAGCACGGAGGAGGGGTCCTAGGAGGCCGTGGGCTCAGCAGCACGTAGGGGTGCCGCAGGGGACAGGCCTGCAGAGCAGGGTGGGGCAGGAGGGCTGGCAGCCCCCAGAGGACTGGCAGGAGGGAGCCACATACACAATGGGCTTACAGCTCACGGGCATGCACACAGTTGGCTTGCAGCTCACGGGCACGCACACGGCTGGCTTGCAGCTCATGGGCACGCACACGGCTGGCTTGCAGCTCACGGGCACGCAGCAGGACGTCTGGCAGGGGCTGAGCACATAGCAGGACGTCTGGCAGGAGCTGGGCACGCAGCAGGACATCTGGCAGGAGCTGGGCACGCAGCAGGACGTCTGGCAGGAGCTGGGCATGCAGCAGGCCTGCTGGCAGCCCGTGGAGCAGCTGGACTGGCACATGGTGGCGTGGGGCTGGAGTGGAGTCAGGGTGGAGGACGGGGCTGGTCTGGAGGCTCCTTCCCCAGGCAGCCTTTATACCCGGGCTGTGGCATCCTGGCAACAAGCCACACGGGGGCCTTCCTCCGGTTTGCCTGATTGTTTTCCTCCTCCTGCTCCTCCTCTGTGCGTCTCTTCCTGGAGTTTCCCGGTGGAAGCGACTCTGTTCAGGAAGCTCTGTGACAGCTGGAGGCTCAGTGTGACCCAGCAGCCCCGTGATTTCTCGACTCAGCCCAGCTAGGATGGTGAAGGACCATCGGCTGGGGACAAGGGCCCCCATATCAAGAATTTCCAGGTCCTCCCCGAGCTCACGTACCCTGTCCTCTGTCCACACAAGCACCATCCTGCTCGCCAGACCGGGGATCCCTGTTTTGATTTGGAAATTCTGTGATCCAAAAGGCCTTCCAAGGGACCAGAGCCCAGTGGCTGGGCTCCTCACTGGGGACAGCCATGGCCGTGGCATCCACCATGTCATCCGGTCCTGGCTTTGTGCCAGGTGCCACGCTGTCAGCTTGTCACTGACTAGTCACCAGTCTTTGCCGCCAACCAAGGGGTAGGGGTAGCCCACGTACACGGATGCGCGATTGGATTCCGGGATGTGTGCGCGCTCTCCCACTGCAGCCAAGAAGCAGGCGTTTGAAGCTCAGTTTCACTCTGGGTCTGCGGTCATTACCATTGTTCCAAATTATGCTGGGATTTTAGGGGTTTTCTGGGACTCTTGGATCTGTAAGTTAGAATTTAAAAAAAAAAACAACCAAACAAAACAAATGTTGGGGTATACCTGGGTGGCTTAGTCGGTTGAGGATCTGACTCTTGATCTCAGCTCAGGTCTTGATCTCAGGGTTGTGAGTTTAAGCCCTGCACTGGGTTCCAAGCTGGGCATGGAACTTACTTGAAAAAAAAAATGGGGGAATTGCCCATTATTACTGCTTCAATATCATTCTCTTCTTCTCCGTGGGTTGAAATTTTTTCTTGTTGGACTGCCTGATATTGTCCATAGACCCCTTCATGATTCTTTTTGTAAAATTTTTAAATATTTTATTTATTTACTTGACACAGAGAGTACAAGCAGGAGGTGCGGCAGGCAGAAGGAGAGGGAGAAGCCGGCTCCCCGCTGAACAGGGAACCCCATGTGGGGCTCGATCCCAGGATCTCTGGGATCATGACCTGAGCCGAAGGCAGACGCTTAACCGACTGAGCCACCCAGGCGCCACCCTCTTCATGATTCTTAATTCTGTTCTCTCTTCCTCCGATTCGGTGATTCCTACTGATGTGTCTTCACATCGACAGTCTTTCTTATTCTGTCGGCCGGGACCGCGAGGCCTGGACTCACGCTGTGTGGTCTGCACTTGTCCCCCTGCACCTGCTGCCCAGTGCCCGCACCGCAGGATTTCCCCCTGTTTCGGGAACGTGCCCGTCTCTGCGCTGGTGTCCTCACGCCCCCAGGGCTGCTTCTGCTTGGAACCCCACCCCTCCCCCCGCCCCAACATCCCCCACGTCGTGCCTGCTCAGCGTCACCTCCACACACAGGTCCCCAAACCACTCGTCAGCACTCCCATTCCTCTCCACCTGCTGAGCCTGTTTCCTTCCTGGGGCTCAGTCCATCCTGGCATCATTTCATGCGTTAACTTTCATGCTTTTGCTTATTCATTGCCCCACGAGGCTCACGAGGCTAGGACGTCTCTATAGCCAGCACACAATATACATTTGTTCATGATCAAATCAATGATTGTATAGATTACTAGAAGGCAGAAGCTGGTCAACTTTCTACAAAGGAAAGAGAGTAAGTATTTCAGGTTTTGCAGGGGTTTGGTCTCTCTCATAACTGCTCCACATTGTACTGCAAGCCCTAGACAGCAGGTAAGCAAATGAGCGTGGCTGTTTCCAATAAAGCTTTATTTACAAAGCAAGGAGAGGGCCAGATTTGTCCCACAGACTGCCCTGGTTCCCAGTTTGCAGATCCCCAGTTTAATGTTTTCCTGTGCAAAATAGAAGCTCAAGAAGCATTACTGCCTCAAAGTCACCACCGACGGCTGTGAGACAAAAAGGAATAAAGGATGCGATACCTAGTGGGGCCAGCGGTGCTCTGTGCGCAGTACTGGTCTGGAGAAACAGCACAAGCCCACATAAAGGCAAACCAGAACATCCTGTTTACAGAAGAAGGAATTGGCCTCTCAGCCAAACTCATTATAGTGGAGCAAAACACAGGGGAGCACATCCCACGACAAAATGTTGGGGAAACAACTATGAGGAAGTCAACAGCTGTGCTTCTGTGTTGCCAGGACGCCTACTGCCCGGGTATAAAGGCCGCCCAGGGCAGGAGCCTCCAGAACTCACCGCCCTCCTCCCTGACTCCACTCCAGCCCCACGCCACCATGTGCTACACCAGCTGCTCCACGGGCTGCCAGCCGGCCTCCTGCACCCCCAGCTCCTGCCAGACGTCCTGCTACGTGCCCATGAGCTGCCAGCCCACCGTGTCTGTGCCCGTGAGCTGCAGGCCCGCCATGTCAGTGAGCTGCAAGCCTGCCGTGTACGTTGTCCCCTCCTGCCAGTCCTCTGTGTGTGTGCCCGTGAGCTGCAAGCCCCTTGTGTTCATGGCCTCCTCCTGCCAGTCCTCCGGGGGCTGCCAGCCCTCCCGCCCCACCCTGCTCTACAGACCCATCTCCTGTAGCACCCCGTCCTGCTTCTGACCGGGATTCCCCCCACAGCTGTTCCCAGGGCACAGGGGCCCCACCTGCACCCCTCCTGGGGCAAGTCTTCAGTGGCCTCTGGGTTCTGCACATGCAGATGAAGAACGTGCCCATCGGCCCCTCAGAAGCCCATGGCGAGGATGTGGCAGGATGACCCGGATCCCTCTGTGACCCAGCATACCCCTGTGGGAGGCCTAGTTTCTGGGGTCCTCTACCTCCAGCAGGAACCAGCCCTGTGTGACCCAAATAAATCATGCTTTCCTCATGCAGCTTGTCCCTGGTTTATCTTCATGTATTTCCAAGTTCTTTTCTCGAAGACGTATACAGCCATGAGCAGAGCAGCCGCTCCTCAAAGAGCCCTCCCTCCAACAGCTCAGCTGAGGTGGGGAGAGGGTCCGTGGAGGGTGCAGGGGGAGATGCCGTTCCCACATCCAGCACCTGAGACTCACCTAGTAGATGGGGAAGGGCAGCGGAAAAGCTACCCCCACGGAATAGGGGATGGGAATCGGAGCGTGACCACAGGGAGGGCAGGGAAAGCTCACATAAACCCACCCCAACTACAGAGTGAAGTCTGGCCATTGCAGGGAAGAGAGGCAGAAAGGGAGAAAGCCTCACCCTCCAAGACCTGGGCACATAGGGCCCGCTCACAACTGACCTTGGAATAGGACAATGGAGCTCTCCTGGCTCCCACTCAGCTTGGCTGGTACCGCTGCAGGAGCAACAGCAGTCACAGGGTGGGGGTTGGGTAGGGAGGAGGCAGGCATGTGGAGAGGTACCCTCCATGTGCCAGGCACGCAGGGATAGCTGAAAACTTAGGGCAGAGCAGGAATGCTGTGCCTCCAGCCCTTGCCCTAAGCATATGGCACTGGAAGCCCACCACAGAGGAATCCAAAGTCTTAGGTACCTTGAAGGTCATCGCAATAATGACAAAACCCAAACCAAGGTCAGCATCTGAGCAGGTTGATCCAAAGTTCCCCCCCAACCACACTGATGACCTGACAGAAGAGACTCACCCATTTCCCAGAGGAAACACTTTTTATGTCCATTTAAATTAATACACGATATCTGGTTTCAAAAAATATATTAGAAGACATACAAAAAGGCAAGGAAAAAAGATCAATCTATTTTCAAGGGACAAAGCAATCAACAAAACTGGACTCAGAAATGACCCAGATGTTAGAGCTATCAGACAGAAACAGCAAAATAACTACGACGAGTGAAATAGGTCAGACAGAGAAGAGCAAATACAGTTGACCCTTGAACAATGTGGGGTTAGGGGCACTGACCCACTGCAAGTAAAAAATTCACATATATCTTTTGACTCACCAGAACCTGAACTACTAATAGCCTACTGCTCACCAGAATCATTACTGATAAAATAGTTGATTATGTTATTTGTCAGTATATTATATGCTGTATTCATACAACAAAGTAAGTTAGAGAAAAGAAAATGTTATTTAAAAACCATAAGGAAGAGAAAATACATTTGTAGTACTGTACTGCATTTTTTAAAAAAATCCATGCAGTTCAAACTCATGTTGTTTAAGAGTCAGTTGTACAGTATGATCTCATTTATATGTGGAATAAAATAATAATAATAGTAATAATAATTCCAGAGGTAGGGGCAGGGGGTATGTGAAATGGGTGAAGGTGGTCAAAAGTTACAAACTTCTAGTTAAAAGACAAATGAGTTGGGGAATGTAATGTACAGCATCTCTATAAGAGAAAAACATTAAGTTAGTTTGTTTAAAGAGATAAAAGACAGAACTATAAATATGAGAACAGAGTAGAAGAAACAAACAGAGTTGAGGGAAACAAAGAAAACTTCTAGAAATAAAAAAAAAATCAAGTAATAAGAATTAAAAATTTAGTGGAAAACTTAAACAGAATATTAGACATAGCAGAGGAGAGAATTAGAGATATCAGGAGGGAGAGCCAAAGAAAATATCCTGAATGCAGCAAAAAAAGTTTAATAAGTAGCAAATATGTAAGAGAAGTTAAGAGATGTGCTAAATGATTAGGGGAGTATGTGTAGTAAATTCATAAATAAAAGCATGGGAATGATAAATATTAAATTTAGAATAACAGTTACATTCAGGATGGACTAAAGCATTGAGTCATGTGGGGGATGTAAGGCTTCAAGTTAATTAATTAAATAACTAAAATTAATATGTTAAATAATCAAGGGTAAAACATGCACTACATATACAAACAGAAGGCGAATTTCAGCAGAGAGATGGGCACTATATGAAAGTGTCAAAAAGATTATGTAAAAATCAAAATAAAATATCAATAAATTCCTTCAATGGGCTCATCCGTAGACTTGACACAGCCAAGTGTGGAATTGTTAAATGTAAAGATAAGTAAGTAGATATATCCCATATTAAAACCCAAGGAGAAAAATAGTAGGGGAAAAATTAGTAGGACAATATTAAATCATCACTAATGCATGTAAGTAAAGTCCCAGAAAAACAGGAGAGAGAGAATAAGCCAGAAGAAATATTTAATTTCTTAAAATTTATCATTTACTTTCTAAAAATAATGAAAGACATAAAATTATAGATCCAAGAAGCTCAGAGGACCTCAAGCAGGATAAATATATCAGCCCCCCCACTCCTACAAAAAATAATGACCTGGACACATCATTAAAAGTTTGACTATAAAACTGGAAGAGAAGAGGAAATCTTGAAGGCATCTACATGAAGAAGACATGCTCCTACAGAACAAAGATAAGAATTTCTTCAGAGTCTAATTAGAAAGCATACAATTCAAAAGACAATGGAAAGATATCTTTAAGATACTAAAAGAAAAATCTGTCAACTGTATGAAGGTTTTAAGAAAGCATCTTTAAAAATTAAAGTGAGGGGAACCTGGGTGTCTCAGTCCATTAAGCATCTATCTTCAGCTTAGGTCATGATCCCAGGGTCTTGGGATCAAGCCCCGTGTTGGGCTCCTTGCTCGGCAGGGAGTCTGCTTCTCCTTCTCCCTCTCCCCTCCTCTCCAAGCTTGTGCTCTCTTGCTCATTCTTTTTCTCTCTCAAATAAATAAAATCTTAAAAAAAAATAAAAATTGAAATGAAATAGACACTTGCTCAGATAAACAAAAACTGAGAGAGTTTAACCACAGACACGCACTATCAGAAATATTCAGAAAATTTCTTCAAGCCAGTGATTGGCTGGCTTGGAAAAAACAGCTCTAGAAATGATTCTAGAGAGAAGCTCAATATAATAAGCCTTACAAGATAATGGCTATCTAGAGCAGACACCTTCCCAGTGCACCGGGGGTTCTTCACATGTGTAGAAGTGAAGGAGACAACACCCCCTCAGACGATGTGGTGCGGAAGTACACTGCTGTGGAGTCCTGACACTACAGACGGACCGGTAATAGCATTCGGAGGTAGGTCGTGTTCTATTAAAGGTGTAAATTATAAATTCTCGACCAACCCACTCCAAAAAGATGTGGCCAAAAGTAGATGAGACCAAAGTAGAGATGAAATGGGAAAATTAAAAATAATAAACCTGAAAAGAAGAGAAAGAGAGAAAAGAACAGTCGGCCCAAATAGAACACAACCTGCAAGATGATATTTTACATTTGACTATATCAGCAACTTCCATTAAACGTAAAAGGTCTAAATATCAAAATCAAAATTAGAGGTATTTAAATTGGATACGAAGGCAAGACCAACTATCTACCAGAAATCCCACTTTAAATATAAAACCATAGTTAATTATTTCATATATATGTTTCTATATACACTTATTACTACATATGTGTTAAGCATGATGTGTATGTTTATGTATACATATATAATATACACATAAGATACTCAAATGTATTGTTGGTATTATCATTTTGAACAAATCATTATGCCAAATCAATTAAAAATAAGGAAAACAAAAGTTGTTATTTTACCTCCACTTACTCCTTCTTCTTTGTGCTTCCTTCCCTTATGCAGACCGAAGTTTTGGACTTATATTACTTTCCTTTTCTTAAGGACCTTCTTGCAAAGCAGGTTTACTGGTAAAAATTTCCCTCATACTTATTTGTCTTAGAAAGTCTTTATTTTCCCTCCACTCTTGAAGGATAATTTTTCAGGGTATAGGATTCTTGGGTGATGGGTTTTTTTCCCTCTCAACACTTTAAATATTTCGCTCTGCTCTCTGAGGAGAAGCCGCTGTAACTCTTGTCTGTGGCCGTGTGCAGGTGAGCTGGTTTTCCTTTGGCTTTGGTCAGGACTCTCTCTGTCTCTGATTTTCCACAGTTTGGACATGGCGTGCACAGGCGTAGTTGAGTTTTGCACTCACGCTGCTTGCGTTCTCCAAGCCCCCTGGGGCTGCAGTTCAGTGTTGGATGGTGGTTGAGGGAATTCTCAGCCACTCTTGCTTCAGGGATGTCTGCTGCTTTCCCTCTCGCTTCTCCCCTGCTGTTCCCACCGCACAGAGGTCACACCTTCCGTGGCATCCCATGGTCCTTGGGCATTCTGTTCCAGTTTTTCGTCTTTGGTTCCTCTGCCTTGTGGGTTTTCTGGTTTCCATTGGTGTGTTCTCCAGTGCAGAGACGCTTTCTTACCGTGTCCAGTCCACTAGGGAGCCCATCCAAGGCTGTCTTCATCTCTGTCCAGTGTTGTTGACTCTAGAGTTCCTTTCTGGTTCTTTCTGAGGATTTCCATCTCCGTTTACATCCGCCCGTCTGTCCTTGCGCGCCATCTGCTTTGCCCATCAGAGCCTCCAGCATTCGGCCAGGGTGTTCTGAATCCCCAGTCTGATGGTTCCGACACGTGGGCCACGTCTGGTTCTGGGGCGCGCTCTAGCTGAACGTATGATCTTTAGCCTTTTGTCCTGTGATTTTTGTCTCGATAGCCAGACACGAGGACCTGGGTGGAAGGAGCTGCCGTAAATAACCTTCGTATCGTGGTGGTGAGGTGCTGGGGGAGGGACGCATTCTGCAGTCCTGCGATCAGGGGTCAGGCCTCCGGTGAGCCTGTGCCTTCTCGAGAGTTT